AAAATGACTTTAATTTGCTTGAGTTTATAGCCGTTTCACTTTATTTTGGGAGCATTAATGCCACACTGTGGGTCTATTGGAGACCTTCATAAATATTCCTAGTAAATGTAATCAATGTTGGAGACATACTTGTTACATAAACCCACAAATCGCAGCAGTGTTTATTTGAGAGCGAACAAGAAAATCTGCGCTTGAGCATTGGATATTTGAGGGCGTGCAAGAAGTTTTGTCCACGAACAGAGGAAATTGGTGCACAAACAAATGTGATCTCGACTTGTAATCCTGCGCTACCAACATTTGTCATTGAAATAACACCATTGTTAGTTTGTAGATCTGTGTAAAAGGTCTACCGCCACAGCTGGAAAAAATCCTAGAGGAAACACTGTTTTGGAACAGTAAAGATGTCGAGCTAAATAATTAAAATAAATTATTGACCTCTGCTGTCTTCATTAGTTTGAAAACCACAGATTTCTTTACAACACATTAAATAAAATAAAAATAAAAAAACATTAAAAAACCCTTACTTATGCATAGGGCCAGACGGAATCTGCGGACGTTTTCTGCGCAGAATCTTGGTAAAAATCTGCGGATTTCTGTGGAATTATTTTGGAAGTATCCAGCAGAGTATCATAACTTAGACCTTAATATATTAAGTAAAAAATAATAAATTACTAAATAAAAACCGAATAAATTCAGATTTACACATTTACTCAAGTAAATAAACAGAATTATTAATAGGCTAAAAATCTGCAGAAATCTGCGGAAAATCTGTGAAAAATCTGCGGAATTCTGCGCGCGCAGATTCCGTGTGGGCCTACATAAGCATTAGAAAAGTTGTAGCAGATTACTTTAGCTGTTTTACAACCTTGAAATTTCCGAACCGCGGTAAATCTTGAAACCGGGTTATCATCCCATGCCCAGTTAAGTCCTCTTTGCTGGGCACATATTATCAAATTAGAACAAATGTCTTGAAAAGAGAATCATGTCAAATATGCAGCACAGTGGAGCTCGAAGACCAGTAATTAGAAACTTTATGCATTAGATTTATCTCACATTTTTCATTTATAATTCAAGAAAATGCACAAAACTATGCACATCAATCTAAATAAGTGCTCAGCTAAAAAAAAAAAAAAAAAAAAAAAAAGATCAGAAAACTAAATATAAATCCAAGACTTCACACTTAGCTATTGCTTGACGCTATTAGCAGGTTTGGCGTGCTGTCCCAGGAAAGAACCCTGAGCAGGGAAATAATTGAGCCCAGTACTCCCACCTGGTCAATTAGCATATAAGGGGTTTTGAGATTAGGTAGATCTGGGAGCTTCTACTGGTAAAACTTCAGGAAGACAAAACCAAAGCTTCAAAAGTATCAAATTTGTTATTAAAATGCTCACATATACTGTAGCATTTGATGAGTGAATTTATAGTTCATGAATGGTGAATAACTTTAGAAATGCTTTTTTAAAATAAAATACCATGTTAGCAACAATTTTATTTTGCAGGCTATAAGGTGGACTAACTTTCAGTGTAATACACACTATATCTTATCTTATAATATATTATATTATCTTATATATATTGCATACTATTTTTATTTGATTCATTTTATTTAACATTGTAGTACACAGTCTCAATTCTGAGTGTACTTTCCAGAATGATATAAAGTATGTGAATTTGTAGCTTAAAATTTTAAGAGACAATTCACAGTTTCTTAAAAAAAAATCAAAGCTCAGCATGTAAATATTCAAACCCACTCAACCTTATTATTAGGATCTTCATGTTTACTAATGATTGAGAAAATGATCAAATAGAAATGACAATGAAACATTAAGAATTACTCTTTTAATAGCTTGCTCATTTGATGCCAACATGAGCATCGTGCATGCAACTCATAAGCAGCCTGTAAGCCATATTCTTCCAGTGACCTGAGTTAAAGGAGGTTAAAGCCAACAAACTTTATTGAGAGTGACAGGCCAACATGTCTGTGTACAATTAAAGCTTCATTTGCTCTTGCTACTGCTGTTCTCTGGTTTATATAAATCTGAGGTTACAGGCAAGACTAATCTCAAGTGGAAAAGAGAGAGAGAGCTGTTTTCTGCAGTGTTGCACAACAGAATCAGAAGTGGCGAGTGGTTGAGAATACACCTGTGACAAGCTCTCGTCCTCCAGTGTACATCTGCACAGACAGCACTCACTTAGGCCACACTGATTGCACTGGCATTGACTTCAGACTATTCAATTTAGTCCTGATCCCATTTAAGCTGAAGGTGCTCAAGTCCAACCTTCTTTGTAGTGAACCTTCATATTGAATTTTCAGCCTGGGATACAATATGGAACCCTTTTAACCTTTTCCCTTTGCTGTGAATACTAATTAAATGGTTTCACATTATAAGATTCACATTTTTTTATCTTTGACAGTGTAATAATTTTGGACGTCTCACAAAGAGAAACAATGACAGTGTGGGTCAAGTCTCCAGTGGCATGATTGTCAGTTTGTTTGGATGGATTAAACTAATTTTTATTAAGCTAAACTTGAAATGGTGTATGTTCTAGTAGAGTTTGCAATTAAAATGATGTAGCTAATTTAGTGGCAGTTCTTTTTTTTTTTTTTTTTTTTTTTTGCTAAAACCCTTTATGGATTTTTGAAAATGACCTTCCATGGAGTGTGAAACATGGCTCTAAGTGAAGTGAAATATCCAGCCAAGGCACAAATCTGAAAGTGCACAGTTTTTGAAAATATTGATTCATCTATAAAAGAGTTGATTCAAGGTGCTTTAAATGAGTCGTCTTGATGAGTCTTTAACTATTTCGGTATGACGTCTATATTAAACTTAAGCCTTGGCCAATTGTTGTGCCGCAAACCCATGCCACAAAATCGTGTTATTTTTTCCACCCAAAGATGAAACCGAAGAGTCAGTGGCTGAGGTTTTCTTTTTGCAAAAGACCTTAGCATTATAGCCCCAGCCTTAATTGTGCTTTGTTCCCGTCATTTTCTGACGAGTGCTTCAGCAATCTACATGCTTACAACGGGGGATTCGTCGGCCGTTTGTTAAAGGAATGATCAGAAAAGAGTATTGATGTATGGGACTTTGTCAGAGCTCAACAGGAACTTTAAAGTAGACCAGTTTCTTCGTCCATTTTTACAAATGTAAGCAAGTGCGATTTAAAATGGTTGCCTCCTTGTTTTCTCTAGCTTGCAAATTATGTATTTAATTGTGTTTTGTTACTTGTAACCACTTGTAGTGTATCTGGTTAACTCTTTATATTCACATACCGTGTCCACTGCCATGTTGAAAACGTGATCCGTGGTGTTGAAATTAAGGGAATTTTCCGGGATAAATAACAAAACCGGAGGGTGGCGGTAGATGGGTCTGAAATTGGTCTAAAATACGGAAGGCTCTCGTAAAAATAGGAGTGTTAGCAGGTATGCTTACACATGCACTCTGACTACTTTCATATTGTTGATAAGTTGTAGTGGGCATTACACTCTGTCTCACATGGATTGCTATTGACCAATCGCAACAGACTGTCATCGGTCCAATCAGCGCAGATTAGCATCATGCTAAGGAAGGGTTTGGGAACAATTGAATTGCTGAATGAAACATATAGGAGTCGCTAGGATAATTATGGAAAAATAAATTCATTTTATAAGACAATGAAAGTGTTTTTTTGACCTTGCATGCATATCATTCTGTTGTTGGAGACCCCCCAAACCAAAATATGACCCTTTTTAATGTATAACAGGGGCTTTTTAAACAAATTCCATTCAGAGAGCAGAGCACATTCACTCTTAACAATGCAGGATTCCAGATATTTCCCTTATGTTGTCCCAACACAAATTAAGTTAATGTGATCAGTTTTACAAATTTAAGTGGATTGAACTTAAAATAATTAAATTTGCCCAAAAACTTGTTGGTTCAACTCATATCAAATAAGTAATTTGAACAAACAGTCATTTTGGAACAAAAGTAATTTTTTGTGTGCTTGAGCAGCAAACCGCCCCGGTGCATGCTGAAGGTCCATGTTTGGTGAGGCCAACAGAACAACATCGTCTGTGAATAACAGAGCTAAAATCCTGTGGTCCCAGAACCAGACTCTCTCTGAACCAGGCTGTGCATAAAAATTCTTCCCATAAAAATATTGTATCATGTTTATGAAAGTATCTACTCAAATATATACATACAATTTCACCAGGTGACTTTAATATCCTTGAATATAATAATTTTAATATTTAATAATAATATTTATATAGTATTTTTAATATTTGAAAATAAATGTATAATTTTATAATGATTGAGATGATTCTATATTGGAGTGTATCTGATTAAAATCTAAAAGCTAATAACAACAATAAAGAAAATTTATTCCGAGTCTAACATTATTCAGGTACAGCAACTGAATAATAAAAATGAAAATAATTCAATAAAATTCATGCTTATCAGTTACAAATAGAAAATTTTCTTTTGCCTGAATGCTTTTAAAATCCCTATACAATCACAGGCCTTAAAAACACATGGAAACTATAAATTCTAATACAAACTCAGCATTGCATATTCTGCGATGTAACTATTGCCAATCATCACATTGCAATATCGATACTGAAACTATATATTGTTCAGCCCTATGTTATTAATTAATTAATAAATAAACAAGTATCTCAGTACATTTTTTAGACCTGAACATTAAAAAATGTTATGTCAGAATACACACATTTCAGCAAAATATAAAAAAAAAAACAATTGTCCGTCATATGTTGTTAAATCCTACCACTTCTCACAGTCTCCACTACAACTGGTTTTACAACCTGTGAACCATGTTATGCAGTACATAGAATATTTAGCTACAAGCAACACAAAGCTGGTCCTGAACAAAGAAAGGAAGATAAAAGAAGACAAAGAATAACTAGAAGCAGCGAGTTCTAGCCCAAGCCTTTGAACTCCCCCACAGTTTTATTCTCAATCTATTCTCGATAACTTTGACCCCAAGAATCAATATCATCTTACCTTTCCTACATACTGCGGATCAGATCCCATGTATTCCTCCAGAACAAAGAACTGGTTCCACACCCATCCTCTCTTGACTCTGTGAACTCCCATCACGCCATGCTTTCTATGTGCCATCAGGTTCCTGTGCTGCTCCTTCCCCATCCTGCTCTGGGATGAAGAGTGCAGGGAAGAAACAAAGCTTTTTTCCAAGAGGCACCAGAGGAACAGCAGCAGGCAGTTCCCCATTAGCATTGGAACAATCTTTAGGTGCGAAGTCCTTTGACGGACACGGCTGACTTTTATGGTGACCGCAAAGGAGAGGCGAATCCGAAATGAAGAACTCCACAAAGCCTCGGCGGCATGAAACAACTAGCATCCATGGAATTCCTGGGGCGCCGGAGATTTCAATGAACCACCTGCAGGAGAAAAGAAGGAACGGCACTTTAAATCAATGAGATTATAAGGATTTGTTGGGGTGTCTGGGTGTTGTGTTGGCATGCAATGAAAGCAGAAGAAGGCCACACTGTCTATTATGTTTTCATCTTTGGAGTGTAAATCTGTCTCTTCAGCTATAATGTAATCTCACTTGAAGGGCTTTACAAAAACAGGGAATCTGAGCAAATTGGCTCACTCGAGTTCATTTAGCACATTTAGCACTGGGAGGTTTGAGAAACGAGCGTGTAAAAAAAAGAGGGAGTTTGGCAAGAGTTGAACAACTGTTGGCTGGACTCCAGGAGAGTGTTGGATGTGCAATTCTGTGCTCATTTTCAGTGCATTAGTCTTTGAAAATGCAGTGTCCCGCTTGAGCAAGAGGGTTGTTTTTGACCCGGCAACACAGATGGTATGTCACAGGACGCAAAAGCCAGTCCAGATGCTTAGGGCCACAAATCAGACAACTTTGCACTTAATCACTCTCTAAATGGAAAGAATCTGAATAATTATGTATAAGAGGACTATCCATCATTGTTGTACCAGGTGTTAAGAAAATTAACAGGATAGTTTACGCCACCAAAAAATAAAAATGCTGTTAATAGAAGCAACATCATGCCATCCTATATACACTGCATGTGATTTTTCTTCTTATTGTTGAGTAGAACAAATTTTCTGGTAAAACTAGAATTTAATAATTCTTTACAGTTAATAAAATGGGATTCAATCATGGCTGAGATTCTGAGGGTCCCCCCAAAGCAATCAAAACCAAAAAAACACTAGTGGCTTCTGACAATAAATTGAGGTCTTCTGAAGTGAAATCGTCAGATTGTGCAAGAAACTGAATATCTCAAACTGTCGATATATAGCCTCTGACTTGCATGTTATGAATCCCCACGGACCACAGTTTTAGCTTTAAAACCTAGATTTTGGGTGACCTGAGACGGAGTATATTAACAGCAGAATTTTCCTATTTTTTAAGAACTTTTTAAGCTCTAAAGTTGCATATCCACTTGTTAAGTGTGACGTTACATAAAGCAGCTTCCAGGCCCAAGCTTTTTATCAAACATGGGGATACTTAACAATTGGTAATAATAAACGTTTGCAAAATTATGTCATACTTTCGAAAATTGCGATCTCGATATATATAGATCTTTTGAGGCATGTAACTAAAATAATGGTCGCAGCGTATTTCCTGTTTTACATTTTTAATTTCTATAGCTTCCAAGAGTTCAAAAAAAAAAAACACATATTGATAAATAATGTTATGATAGCTGTTATTGAAGTTATAATTGAATTGCCTCGCTACAGTTTCATACTGTACAGGAAATGTTCATGGGCCAATGACATCCCATTGAAATGGTCCATAACCGTGCCTTATATCCGATAATAAGAAAATTATACATTTTTAAACAATAAATTGTTAAAATATGGGTGTCCAGCAACTGTTGTGTACACCATGATTTTATATACAAATTCACTTTAATGTGTGACATGACTAAAAAGTGGTCATAAACAAATATTTTCTCAATTTAAATAAGTAGCGGCTTGGACTCGAAAACTGTACTTCATACATCACGACTTAAAAAGCGGATACTGTAAGCCGCTAAAATCACAACCAAAAGCTAGAATATATTAAAGATAGAACTGTTTAATTGAATTCCCTTAAAGAATCAATCACCCAAAAATTTATTTTACTCGCCATTTATTCACCCTCATTTGGTTCCAATCCCTTATGAGTATCTTTTTTATTGAACACAAAAGTATATACTGTGTTTTGAAGAAAGTTTAAAACCTGTAACCATTGATCGAGCAGCAAAAACGAATACTTTGAAAGATGTGATTATAGGTTCACAGCTTTTTTTCAAAATAGGTTTTGTGTTTAACACAACTAATGTAACTGGAGAAAACTTTTAAAAAGTGTGGACATGTTGACTTTCACTGACTCTTAAAGGGGGTTTTCTTCCAAATCTGTGTGGTTTTAAACCAATAAAATGTCTGTTCATTTTCAGAACACAAATGATAACATCTTTAATAAAATCTGAAAAGTTTCTGTTTCTTGTCAGTCTGAGCAACTTCTGTAGCATTTAAAGACCCAGAAAGGTAGAGTAAACGACTCACCACAGATTCAACCATAGATCCAACCATATTCAATCATAGATTCAATTCTAACTTTATGAAGTAAAAGGAGCGTTTTTTTTTTGAGTACAAAAAAATAGAAAAACAAATCATGAATAATACTAGTAAATAAATAAATGTATTGAAAATTGGCCTGGGCCATTAGCATAAGGCCTTAAGGATAAGATTCTGACTGTATGATAACCTTGGAAAAAAATATTATGGTTTCACAATATCGCAGTTTTGTGATTACTGCTTTAAAAGATGCTCAGTTTAACTTTCTGGGTAAAAAAAAACTTTTCCCCAATTAGAGTATATTTTATTTTAACATTTAAAATATTTTGAAGCAGTAAACATGTCAAGCTAAGTAATTAAAATTAATCCGTGACTTCTGATTTCTAAACACAGATTTCTGTACAGCTTGAAAAAGCAACTTTGGATATTTTTCTTTTCTGTGAATACAAAGTAAGTCACTGCACTGCTCCGCTTTACAGCAGGCTGGATGTTGGTTTATAAGCAATTTGTTTCTCAGATGTTTTCTCAATCATGGGCTGACCAGTAGCTTTTTTGACGTGGAAGCTTCTTTTCTGCTGGATATACTGTTGCCCTAAAAAAAACTCAATAAAATATTTGTAAAAAAACACACAAACAAACAAACAAAAAAAAACAAACAAGCAAAAAAATTACAAACATAGCAGGAGTGATAAATATTTTAATGACTTTACAACCTTGACAAAACCATGCAAAACCGGTTATCGTATCATGCCTAGTTGAAAATGAAATATTTTGTATTCACATGTATAGAGTTGATTCAAGAGCAGATGCTCTCACAAGACAACCTGTGCCAGAAGCGCGTTGCTTTTTTTTTTACAGGCAAAGGAACAGAAACACTGTATGCAAGCTTTGTTTATTAAATTCTACAGCCATAGTGTGGACAAAAAAAAAAAAATTCCTTCTCAATTCCGAAGCCCTCGGACATAATCACAGTACACAAGCTTGTTTATTCAACTGCTTATATAAGCAACATTATACAGTTACAGTTACAAATCGTCACCTTGGAATAATAAGGTTGTATCTGCGTTCTGCAAAGTTTTTGCATTCCATACAGCAAATGGTGTGTGTTACATTTGTCTTTTTAAATAAAAAAGTCAAAAATGTAAACAACTTATAAAAAAACATTCCATAATGTAAATAAGTTGTCATTTAATAAGAATGTCAATAACTCAATTTTGACAAAAATGTCAGATATATAATTCTAAGATGACAAAATGTTAAACAACAAATTAAAAGAACTAGGAATTCAACTTGAAATTGCTCTGGAAATACATTCATTATACAGTTAAATATTTTAATGTAATAGGGTAATGAAATGCTTTCATTAATAAATTTAATTAATTACAGTACAATGTTTATTCTAGGCAATCTTTGAACTGTGGAATAATATGTTTGCCAAATCCAGAACACTAAGATGCAACAACAAATAAAAACTCCTTTTTAAAAAAGTGCACTGCCGTGATTTCACAACCCTGGCAAGGGAGATATAAGATAAAACAATATTTTCCCATATTCTCACAGGACTTATTTCCTCCAGCCCTCTCAAACTCTTATGTCATACCTGTTACAGTACAGACTGTCCCCAACTGAATATATTGGTTTAATATCTCTACAGCATGCACAAATCTGACAGGAAGGCAGATGAAACATGTTTTACTTAGAAGTGATTTTATGCTGCAACATGCAGAAAAAGTCCATGCAGATAAGAGGGCAGAACAACAAAAAGTATGAGCCAGGGCAACATCAATTGTTAGACAGACCACCAAGCAGAGCAAATGATTGCAATATGAATCCCAGGAGACCTCTTGTGTGCAGTAGTAGTGAGATGTCTTATGGTTGGCAGGACATTGTGTCTCTGCAGCAATATTATTATTCCCCATGGAGAAACCTCAGCAATTGTCTCAACACTTAACAAGCTCAAAGACCTCAAGTACAGTGTACGCAGAACGAACACTTCCAATGTCTGTCCAAAGGTCACCACACATTAAAACTATGCCCTCATTATTTTGCTCTTTTCTTTTTTTCTTCTTCTTCTTCACTTTCTTAACTGTTGACTATGCTTATTGCCAGTCTGTGGAATCAAACGGTGTGCTCCGCTTGATGTGATGTAAGGTGATGTGAGTGAACTTTACTCTCTTGGTCTGTTGCTGAATAAACATGCAGCTTTCTAGCATGCATCACCCAACAGATCCACTGAAGCTGTGCTGTCATATCATATTAGAAAGAAAGGGCTTTTAGCAGGAACTGAGGACTCGGAGTCTAAGCACACAATCAAATGATGTCTCAGAGGAAGGACAGAGAAACACACACTTATATATCTTCACTCAAATGGTAAATTACCTAAAATGATACTCTTAAATATGCTCTCTCTGCTGTTCTACAAGCCTGATGGTGGCAGTGGGCCTGAGTTCTTCAGAGCAGAGGAAGACATGCAAATGAGCAAAATCATATAATTAAATCTTCATTCAACAATGTAAAGTTGAGAGTTCCCCTGTGATTGAAGGGGATTCAAATTACCAATCATGTTAGCTCCGTAAAGCTCATCCAATTGAAACTCTATCAAGTTTAGACACTTGGATTAGGCTAGAGAGAGGATAGTCTTTATTATTAGTTGTGTAACTGTGTGGGCTGTAGCCACTTTATAAAAACAGCTGGTCATGAGCTGGTATTCTATATAGGTGAAGGCAAAATTATTAAATAAAAAAGCCCCCAAAATAGATTTTTTACAGTATTCACTAATGTTTTTTTTTCCTTCTGGAGAAAGTCATTTGTTTTAGTTTGGCTAGAACAAAATCATTTTTTGTAAACAATTTTA